CGTTTAGCGTCACGTATGACACGGCGAGCGATCGCACGCTTCTGCTTAAAATCAAGAAGTCTCTCTGTGGTTCTATTGTACCTGTACCTGCCCCATGCAGCGCATTTCAAACGTACTGCACGAGCACAAGCAGGAGACCACCAAGGCATGCATTTCTGAGAATGCCTGCCCGAAGTTTGGGGTATAGAATGAGAAGCTGCGGTTAAAACTGAGGACGAGAAGAGGTGTAAAAGCTCATCGATGGAGGACGAAGAAGGAACCTCTCTAAAAACAGTTAGGTGTGAGTAAAGGTTCCAATTTGCCTGATCAAATTGCCAGCGCGGGATGCGAAGAGGTGGTGAATATAAAGGGGAAGTAAGAATGATTGGGAAATGATCGCTGTCATGTAAGTCCGGGAGAACAGACCAAGTGAAGTCTAATGCGGCGGAGGAAGAGCAGACTGAGAGATCGATGCAAGAGAGAGTGTGAGTCCGAGGATCAAAATGGGTGAGTACCTATATTTAAAACATGGAGGGGGTGGGTGGCAAGAAAAGCCTCTAACTGAATGCCACGGGAATCACAGTAAGACCCCCCCAGAGGAAATGGTGGGCATTAAAATCACCAAGTAACAGAATCGGTGGCGGTAATGACAAAACAAGAAAGGCAATATCCGGAATAGATAATGCCCGAGAAGGAGAGAGATATAAAGAACAGAGCGTATACCACCTATGCAAGTGGATACGGGCTGCTGTGTAATGCAGCGAAGTACGAACAAATAGCTGATGGAACGGAATATCAGTGCGTAGAAGAAGGGCACTTTCATTAAAGGTCCCATCAGGAAAAGGATCTGAAGAATACAATAAATTATAGCCTGAGATGGGAGAGATAACAGCAGAGTGTAATTTTGGTTCCTGTAAGCAAACACCAACAGGGGAAAACTGGGAGAGTAACATCTGAAGCTCACCCCGATTACCCCTGAGGCCGCGTATATTCCACTGTATATAGGCCATGATTGGCAATGATAAAGATACCTGAAATCCGCAGGTAAGGGTTCCTATGGACTAGAGGGGTTAGAAAAGTCCACATGTGGAGGCAGTGGAAAACGTTCAAGCAGTGAAGGAATGGTGTGCTGTGAAGAAAGGAGTTGCGCAGATGGAGCAGAGGAGAGAGAAGGAGTAGGGGGTGGATCAGTGTCCATTGATGGTTTGGTCTCTGCAATATATTCAGAGATTGCTTCAAGTGTTTCAGAATTCAGAGACGTCGTATGGGAGACAATATTGGAAATGGTAGGGGGAGGATGAGTAAAGATTGGAACTGTATTGGACTCTACCAAGGTAGGGGGGGGGGCAAAAGGGTGGAGGGAACTGGAGAAGCATGGAAGGGGACAGAAGAGGCAGAAACCTGGGAGGTGGCAGAAGAGGAAGAAACTTGGGAGGGAACAGGGGAGGAAAGTACAGTACGAGGAGGTCGGTGAACCTCTACACTTGTAACAGAGCCAGTGAGAGGGGGAGAACCAGGTACAGAGACAGGGAAGGTAAAATGAGGAGGTGGAAGATGGGTAGGAGGTGTTAACAGACCTTTTTTTGGCTTTTGAGAAGTAGAGGGACGATTGGGAGGAGGTGTCATACGAGATCTCGTCGCTACTGAGGCTTGTGAGAGAGAACACGAAGAAGCGAGATCAGACTGAGGCGTTGAAGTAGGGACATCTGAGCCGAGGACAGCAAAAAAATTAGATACAGGAGTGACTATGGGAGAGGTAACCACAGAGGTGGGTGCAGATGGGATACCAGAAGTGGGGGGACGTTTTGAAACACGGGAATAAGAAACACGAGGTAGTCTTCCTTGGAGGCGGAGATGAGAAACTGCCATGGCATAAGGGAGACCTTCTGCCTCTTTGAGTTAACGGATTTCCCGCTCGTTTAAGTAGACTTGAAAACGGCGAGAGTACGAAGGGTGAGCCTCATGACAATTAAGGCAAGAGGGAGGTCGATTGCAAGATGTATTAGAATGGTCATCGGCACCACAGACTGGGCATTCGGCGATAGATCTGCAATATTTTGCTGGATGGCCAAATCGCCAGCAATTTCTACACTGTTGCGGTGTAGGGATCACCTTTCGAACTTGTAACCGATGTCCTGCTACATAAACTGAGGATGGGAGTTCACGGCTGTCAAAAGTTAAACGAGCCACATTGCTAGGGTATCGTCTCCACCCACGGGCAGGAAGAAAGTAAGTGTCTACCTTGAGGATTGGGAGATCTTGGAGTTGCAGCTGTTCAAGAATGTCAGTGCCACATGTCTGGAAATTTTGTTGAACTATGGTATGGGGCAGAATGACGGTACCACTACAAGAATTGAGGGAATGATGTTTTTCAATAGTGACAGGAACAGTATCGATATGGGAAAGACGAGAAAGCTCATGAGCCTGGGTAGCATTCTGTACGGTGATGATGCGCGTACCGCTCTTAAGAGCATGAAAAGAAATATCTTTACTAACATGGCGTAGGAGTGCCTTGCCAATACTGTGGTCAGAAAGATAGGCAGTAGAGGAAGTCGGTCGTAAAGTGAAGAATTTAGTCCATTGTGCAGTCTTAAACTGAGCATGGAAAGGTAGTGAAGGACGTGTCGATCTTTTCTGAGAAGAACGAGAAGGTGGAGAAGTATCATCAGCAGGTAATTGTCGTTGGCGTTTAGGCGTGGGACCAGAGTTGGTCTGACGTGAAACGGGTCGGCGATTCGAAAATTGCCGCACTGTAAAGGGAGAGGCCGGAAGCATAGTCAGAGGAGAGCGAAGGTCAGATAAATCGAAGGAGTCAGTCGAGGCCTCAGTACTTGAAGCGGGTGAGGAAACAGCACCGGCAAGAGGTACAGAGGCATGAGGAGTGTCCGAAGAGTGGTCCAAAGACAAGGCGGGGTCAGAACGGGGTGCGGTATCAAGAAGGGGCCCGGGGGGTAGCAGGTTCATGGACTAGGGCTGCCATGGTTAGGTTACTTCTTTCTTTTTGTTTTTAAGAAAAAAAAAGAAAGAAGAAAAGAAAATAAAAATAAAAAAAAAGAATAAAAAAAGGGGGGACCGGGGAGGGATAGTTCCTAGGAGGAATGAAAGGGCCAGAAATCTCCCTCCGGGCCCAAGAGGACCTCAGCACCGCAAGTAGTGCAGATGCAGCATGGAACCCGTGCCATACCCTACCCATCACGCCAGTAAACCGGCAATCCGGGATAGCAACCTCACATCTGCCGAGCTACCTCGGTGGACAAAAGAGAGGGCGGCCGGAAATCCGCCACAAAGCATACCTCCTTCGGCCACCACCCCCGGAATCCGAAAGGTGGCTTCCAGAGATACACCCGTCGCCCGAGAGACACCCAAAGCCACCCTCTGGGATACCGGAGAGGGATCGGGACATCCCCAGGCAATCCAGATTCCACGGCAAACTACGCCACTGCCAAGAACCTCAACGGAATGGGATGGACCCCGGTACCCTTTCCCCTACCTAGGAACTAGGGTGCCTGTGGAAAAAAAAAAAAAAAAAAAAAAAAAAGGCCAAAAAGGAAGGGCAAAAGGGAGGGGTGGGGAGGAGGAGCAGGAAAGGAAAAAGGGGAGGATGGGATAGGGAACGGGGGATTGGGGGGTAATTAGGTTCGGTCTGAGGAAGGAGACCGACAAGTCTAATTCCTCAGACCAAGAGCCTCTTCACCACGCCAAGGAGCCCCCCTTGAAGAGGCACAAATCTGTAGTAGCAGTAGTAGTAGTACAGTCAGGTGATGGTGGGCTCTCTTGGATTCATGCTGCCTTTGTTCTGTGTAATTCTTTGAAAAAGAGATAATTGCCTCTTCTATTCATTCTCATATGCAGGCTTCTGGGTCCTTAATTCCTAAGTACCTGGTGGTGTTCTGCTGTTCATGTGAATACACCTCCCCTTCTGCACCTCCTTTTGTTCCCTTTACATCCCTTCTTGTGTCCTTGTATTACACTGACCTGATAAAGCTCCTGGAGTGTGAAACAGCCATAATGCCTCATTAGTTGTTTGTGTCCACTTAAATTTTTTTCCTCAATAACAATCTCCTACCAAGGTAATGACCCAAAGAAGGAAACACTTTCAAAATCATTCATTGTGTTGGCAGTATTACCACTAATACAAATAATGACAATTAAAAAATTACCTAACAGTAGGCATTTTTTTAGGTAAGAATGAAACCTAGGTCCACATGCCTTCTAAATATTAAGGGGCATAAAAGAGAGCCATGGGAAATAAATATCTTATTGCTCATCTGAATAAACAGTGAGATTCAGTGTAGTTTGAATATTACTATACTGTATTCATAAAAAAAGCGCTAAATGAAAGTCGTTGAATTAGACACATGTGCAACTCTTGGGTATCTTTATTGAGGAAACGTTTCGCCACACAGTGGCTTCATCAGTCCATACAAAGGAGAAACTTGAAGAACAGGAGGAGAAAGAGGTAATCAGTTCCTCAGCCTTGAGTCGATGTGGTCAGTCCATCAATCTTGAATACTTGGGAATTCTTCACTTGCCTAACCCTTGGGCACGACCTACTTCCACATTGGACAAATGTGACACCACTTACGACTGCTGCCCCTCACCTGTCTACGGTTTATAAGATGCTTCTCCGCTAATATGACATATTCTATTCAAGATTGATGGACTGACCACATCGACTCAAGGCTGAGGGACTGATTACCTCTTTCTCCTCCTGTTCTTCAAGTTTCTCCTTTGTATGGACTGATGAAGCCACTGTGTGGCAAAACGTTTCCTCAATAAAGATACCCAAGAGTTGCACATGTGTTTAATTCAACAACATGTCAGCTCTCTGAACCATTCATCTAAATGAAAGTCATTCAGTGATAATTGTAAAATAACTGAAATTAGATCGGCTGCAAAATTTCAAACTGTCAAGTGTTGCTCTAAATTTTGAAAGAATTAAGAACCAAATACCCCTTTGTTTGTTCACGAGTTCTATGATCATGAAATTCAAACAAAATAGAGTTTAATAAAACACGATATATAACAACATATTATATAATAAAGCATTTTATTTACAATTTACACAATGCCTGATATCTATGGAAGGTATGATAAATACACCCGAGTATAGTTATTGGAGCTAAAACCTTGTGTAGCTTTAAAAATAGGTTAGACAAGTACAAGAGTGGGTGTGAGTTGAACCTGCTTAGCATGGGCTAGTAGGCCTGCTGCAGTGTTCCTTCTTTCTTGTATTTAATGTCATACAAAATATTCTTCTCAAGGAATCCTTCATGAATTATACCATTATGTACTAAATAAATAAATTACTATTAATTAGCACAGTAAATTCACTAAAAATTTGGAAAGTTACTTATGATTCACTGCACATCAAAAACTTTTTTTACCTACAGAATCCAACTTTTAAAAACAAATTAAATTGTAGGGCCAGTAGTGTGTTCCAATCTATCATACTCTTCACGAACATAGCGATGGTACTTTGTGAGGATTGGCCGGTAGAACATTGCCTGAGAATCTCCACGCTCTGCCATCAAGGTACGAATCTTCTTCTCAAGCAACCTTTGGAAGAATAACAAAAGTATATTATTTGAAAACCCTATCAGCCCCAAACTTGTTTTAAAAAATGAATGACAATATTTGAAGCAATCAGATTTTGGGAGGTAAATGAATGCTTAGGGAATTTTGAAGAGTGAGAAAATAATTGTTTTCAGGGACTGTAATCCTAAAGATGTTTTAAACATAAAACATTGTTCAGAAGCTACTTAAATATATAACATCCTTTACAAATTCTTAATTCAATGAAAATAATTAGAATGCAATACAGCCTCTCTTTATTTAACAACAGAGTTCCGCTCCTAAGACCATGTCAGTAAATGAATTCGACGCTAAGTGAGGAGTGTACTATAATGGTAGTGGGTTTATGTCAACCATCATTGATATAATTTTAATATCATCTTTGCACCACAACATTTCTGGTATATTTTTAAATGTTTATACAGTAGTGTACTGTACATTGTAATACAGAATAGAGGAAATCAGCTCTAATATACATTATTTAGGTATGCACACTGGTCAGAGCCCATTGTAAGATCGAGTCGTCGGTAAACGAGTACGTCAATAAGTGAGGAGAGGTTGTATGTGAAAATTTTACATATATATATATATGAAATCTAGTGAAAATAAATATATATGCCCCTGCTACTGAATTTTACTTGTAAGCTTTCTTGAATAATTTTTTCCATTAAAACTACTGGAAGTCACAGCACTACACAAAAGAATATAGCATTCTTTACCCCATGTACTGTACTCACCTCATCTGTTGCTTCTCTTTCTCCTCATACATGAAGTGAAGGTACTTCTCATAGTCCTGCTGATGACTTGTGTATAAATATCGTGCCAAGAATCTGGAGATTGGGTGCTGAAAGATAAAAACTCATCAGTGTCATCATTTACCTTAACCCTTTGAGGGTTTCGGCCGTACTAGTACGGCTTACGACCCAGGGTTTTTGACGTACTAGTACGCCTAAACTCTAGCACTCTCAAATCTAGTGGGAGAAAGCTGGTAGGCCTACATATGAAAGAATGGGTCTATGTGGTCAGTGTGCACAGTATAAAAAAAATCGTGCAGCACACACTGCATGAGAAAAAAAAAACTGTGACCGTTTTTTTGAAATAAAACAGTGACTTTGCACTGTATTTTCGTATGGTATTTATTGTTGTATTCTAGTTTTCTTGGTCTCATTTTATAGAATGGAAGACATATTACAGAAATTGAGATGATTTTGACTGGTTTTACAATGAAAAGTACCTTGAAATTGAGCTCAAAGTAACAGAAATGTTCGATTTTTACCAAAGTTCAAAAGTAAACAAATCATGCCAAGGTTCCAATACACGTCAACTGGCGAGTCTAATATTCTTTTGCAAGTGCGCCAATATTATTTATACCATTTTTTACACTAATGCAGTAGTCTGCATAACAGTAAATCTTCTATTTTTTGTGAGAATAAAAATTCAAAGTGGAAAGCAAAAGAATATAAGAGGGGCCTTGAGACGTGACTAATGAACAGAGGAAATGTCATTTTAGTGCCAGGAATGTCTTTCTTGATTATTCTGGACCCTATTCGGAAATTGGTATCTTTTGAAATTTGTGTGAAATTGGCAAAATTGCTAAATTCTGACCACTGTACTGGATAGTTGAAATTGATAAATGGGTGGTTTCTTGCACTCATTCGATAGAAAAAAATGGAGTTCTAGCGAAATATTCATGTTTTTTGCCGACTAGTACAGTGGAATTGGCCGAAAATGGGGCTCAAAGTGGGCAAAATCGCCTATGCGTAAACATCGCCGAGACCGCTAACTTCGTGAGAGCATAATTCTGTAAGTTTTCCATCAAATTTCAAACTTTTGGTGTCATTATGATCGGGAAAAGATTCTCTATCTTTTCATAAGAGAAATTTATTTATTTTTTTTTAAATTTGGCCGACCCTGAGAACGAGTCTCGGAGAGGGCCTGTTGACCCTCAAAGGGTTAAATCCAGTCTAAATTTACAGTAATGACAACTGAGCAACATTGTAATTAAATTCCAGGAAGCACTCAACTGCAATGCATTTAGTTAAGACTGAGATGGTTTCTCAATATATATACAGCTATCAGAAGCTTTCAAGCCTGTATAGCCAGGATTTATTACGTTTAAGAATCAGATAATTCATCCAAATGGACAATCGCCATTAGTGGATGGAGGCTGAAGTTAGTGGATGGAGGATCTAGCCTCCACCACTCTTCCTGTTGCATAACTACAAGGGCCACACCTTAAGCAGATAAAATCTACAGTATACACAATGCTCAACATTAATATTTTTTAAACACTTGAATTCACCCAAAATTTTAGTACACACAGAACCAGCACAGCATCTTGCAGTATGGAATATTTAATCCATTTGCAGAAAATCTTGAAAGACAAAGAAAATGCAAGTGTATTTATGCAAAATGGATGGCAAATAAAGTTGCACAACAAAAATAAAACTACATTTATTAACCAAATAACACACATTTTTATATATTGCAGGTACCTCCTTCCATACATATGGTAGGTACAAGCCAGATGATTGTTTTTATATCATTCATATTCAACTTAAGTTTGAAATGAGTTGTACATGTACAAGATTTTTTCATAATGCAAGGTCTTGACCACACTTCACTACTACTGCCAAGATGACGTATTCAGTGTGGGCCTGCTTCTTGAACTTTCCTCTCCCACTAAATTAATCACAAGCAAACAATCACCTTATTAACACTAGAATGCCTCATTCCTCACAACTACTTTTTTTTCAGGGGTTTTTACTTCTATTTTGTGTACTTTCTACAATGATATTTAGTATCTTATTCAATACAGCTCCATTACTGTCCCACATAGCTGTGCTATTTCAAGAAGACTTTCCTGCTGTGCCAATCTTGAAACTTTCTTAGCCACTATATGAGTTGTAAGTCATTATCACTTTTTAGTTTTTCAAACATTGGCCATCCCCCACCAAGGAAGGATGACCCCCCCCCCCCAAAAAAAAAAGAGGGTTAAATTTCATTAACTTCTAGGACAGTTTTGATTAACGCTTCTGGTCAATCTAATTCACTAAGGCTGTCAGCACACATTCACTCTTCCCTTGGCACATTCTTACTTTTATCTCCCACTCTCCCATTATCATTCCTACTCTATATTCATTTAAAGAATCTATAACAATTCATAATTTTCATTTTTTTCTTTCCCAACTAATTTTTCATTATGTCACACTAAAATAGACCGCTATTTTTAAAATTTACTCAGAAACTTTCCATAAGATCATTGATCAACATGCACCATGTAAGCACACATGATCTCCATGTGGTCTCTTGTAAATTTAGTATTTAAATATTAACTGAGAAGGGCTAAAACATAAGCTTTAAACAACAAAAATGTGAAATCTGAACACAGTACTTACTGGGTAGTACTCCCAATTTTTAGGAATGTAACCTTCAGGGATAGGAGACAGTTTAGCAGGACCAATGAAGATATTGACAAGAAACACCAATGTTCCAAGGGGAATCACACCAAGCATGAAATAGAAGTGTAGCATATCTTTGAACTTGTGCCACTGCCAACGAGAGGGAGTGATCACCATTTTTCTGGGCCCATGCCCCCCCATCTCTCGCTGGACTGCAAACACAAAGACAAATATTAATACTTGAAGATCAGAGGCTCGGAAAGCACATTCCAACAGTCTTTCACATTCTTAGTTTTACTTTAAAAAACAGCCAATACATTTTAATTTTCAACAACATTATATTATGCATAACATTAATGAGCTTTTAGGAAATGTGCCAAATACATATATATATACATGTATATATTTGGTAACTGCAAAAAATATGCACATTTCATAATTTTTTACCATACCACAGGCAGGGATTGAACTCGTGGTGTGCAAGTTGTAAAACTCCAGGCTAGCACCCGTGGTATGATCTGTTTGCAATCATGTCATTATGATTTCATGAGTCATTCATAATTCCTTGTTACCAAAACATGTTGAAAAAATTATGATTTCATAAAACACTTTATACTAAAGTTAATCTGCAGTATAAGAAATGGAGGATATTGAGAGCTTTCATGATATATTTTTTAACACAGCTGACTTTTACAAATAGCTGTTATCCTAACTCAGCTTCTTACATATATTATAGTCTAACCATTAAGCTTGATGAAAAGAAAAAGAAATTCCTTCTATATAGCTACCAGAACTGTACTATAGATGTACACAGGAAAAAAACAAGTGATATACAATATTTAAAGATTTCACAAATTTTTTAATACATATATAACACCACACAACTCGAGCAATATGTTCTAAATAAACTTTGAATCAACACAGGTGATTATGTTGAAAAAACCCTGGCAAAGCATAAACCTGAATGATCCAACCCCTTTTACAGTACCAAGGAAATATACAACATCCAGTGACATTACAGAACCTTCCTATCACCATCATCAGGTTCAGTGACATGTTAAAAAATAAGTTATCCAATAGAATAATTTGGGCTTATTATAGGTTATCTTATACTACTATCTGCAATAATTTTACTAAATTTGGTCACAGTTTATTTTTCCTCAGGAGAGAAATCTGCAAATATTTTATATTATAAATAAACATCCCTGCTATCCATTCCACACGAAAAATAAATATCTGATGTGGAAAATTTTTATTTAGGCAAAAATAACCAATATGTAAATTCTTTTTACTAAGTAGGTTTTTGCACTGGAAACGAGATATATGTTGAACAAATAGGAATTATTATTATTATTATTATTATTTTTATTATTATTATTATAAAGGGGAAGCACTAAACCCGTAGGATTATACAGCGCCTGTGGGGGGGGGGAATGTGGAAGGTATTCAGGCTTAATTCAGGGAACTGGAGCACAGATCCAATTCCCTAGATCAAGAACCCTTCACCATTATTATTATTATAATCAAGGGGGAAGCGCCAAACCCGGAGGATTATACAGCGCCTGGGGGGGGGGGATGTGGAAGGCATTCAGGCTTAATTCGGGGAACTGGAGCACAGATCCAATACCCTAAATCAAGAGCCCCTCACCAACATCAAGGAACCTTCCTTGAGGGGAACCCTTCACCAGCATCAAGGAACCATCCTTGACGGGGAACAAATAGGAAAGAAGCTTTGATAAAGTAAAAATTAATAATGTAACCCAACCTAGCTCAAGCAAACCTAACATAATCTAGACTAGCAGCATATATGTAGATTACTTAAGATAACCGAGGAAGTCAAAGTGACTTATTTCTAATGTTATTAAAGTCTATTAACTACACTAGGGTCACTAAGGCTGCATGATAACCCTTTTAACTATCAGATATGAACACTTTATTATTATTATTATTGCAATGAAAACTACGCGTTAAACCCACAAGGGTCTCAGGAATACTTTAATCCCTCAAAATAAGTTCATAACTCTTTAAAGTACATATACTCTCAGGGAAATACATCCCTCAAAGAATATATCCTCTCCTGATTCACCTGAAATACTTTCAGTTTATTGTGCCATTGATATATAACGAACTTATTGAGGTACCGGTACTACTGCCAGCGGCATTAATATATTTTTCGAGCCAACATGAAGGTATAATTTGGTGTAAACCCCGTGAGGGAAGACACATAACATTATTACTAGTATAACTCACTCATGAAGAGGCATCTGGCCGGGCTGGAGACATTTTTGAGGAGGTTGGTGCCAGACCTGAGACAGCTGACCACCGACATCTTTACTCTCACTACCTTGTGTAGCGCAGCGCCTGGCGCACTGCCACTGTACTCACCTAGTTGTGCTTGCTGGGGTCCATTTACAGCTCCTGGACCCGCTTCTTCACTGGTTCATACTAGGTCACTTTGCTTGCTTCTCGAGCCTTATCATGCCTTTTCTTAAAACTGTGTATGGAACTTGCCTCCCCTACTTCTTCACTCTCCAGATTGTAAGGTACAAAGACACAAGTACAACTAATGTGATATTTTTATTGTGGCAACGTTTCGCTCTCCAGGAGCTTTGTCAAGCTCTAACGGCTTGACAAATCTCCAGGAGAAAGAAACGTTGCCACAATAAAAATGTCATATTAGTTGCACTTGTGTCCTTTTACTTTACATAATGTCGGTATTTCTACCAACATTATTACACTCTCCAGATTATTCCACTTCCTGACAACTCTAAGGCTAAAGAAGTACTTCCTAACATCTATGTGGCCCGGTGGCCTGGTGGCTAAAGCTCCCGCTTCACACACGGAGGGCCCGGGTTCGATTCCCGGCGGGTGGAAACATTTCGACACGTTTCCTTACACCTGTTGTCCTGTTCACCTAGCAGCAAATAGGTACCTGGGTGTTAGTCGACTGGTGTGGGTCGCATCCTGGGGGACAAGATTAAGGACCCCAATGGAAATAAGTTAGACAGTCCTCGATGACGCACTGACTTTCTTGGGTTATCCTGGGTGGCTAACCCTCCGGGGTTAAAAATCCGAACGAAATCTTATCTTATGTGACTAATCTGAGCTTTCAGCTTCCAGTTGTGGCCCCTTGTTAGTGTCCCATATCGGAATCATTCGAGCCTTGTCCACCTTGTCCACCTTGTCATTTCCACTCAGTATTTTATACGTCGTTATCATGTCCCTCCATCCCTCCTACCCTCTAGTATCATCAGGTTAAGTTCTCTTAACCTCTCTTCGTAGGACATACCCCTCGGTTCCGGGACTAGTCTTGTTGCAATTTTTTTTTTTATCACACTGGCCGATTCCCACCAAGGCAGGGTGGCCCGAAAAAGAAACTTTCACCATCATTCACTCCATCACTGTCTTGCCAGAAGGGTGCTTTACACTTCAGTTTTTAAACTGCAACATTAACACCCCCCCTTCAGAGTGCAGGCACTGTACTTCCCATCTCCAGGATTCAAGTCCGGCCTGCCGGTTTCCCTGAACCCCTTCATAAATGTTACTTTGCTCACACTCCAACAGCATGTCAAGTATTAAAAACCATTTGTCTCCATTTACTCCTATCAAACACGCTCACGCATGCCTGCTGGAAGTCCAAGCCCCTCGCACACAAAACCTCCTTTACCCCCTCCCTCCAACCTTTCCTAGGCCGACCCCTACCCCGCCTTCCTTCCACTACAGACTGATACACTCTTGAAGTCATTCTGTTTCGCTCCATTCTCTCTACATGTCCGAACCACCTCAACAACCCTTCCTCAGCCCTCTGGACAACAGTTTTGGTAATCCCGCACCTCCTCCTAACTTCCAAACAAACGAATTCTCTGCATTATATTCACACCAAACATTGCTCTCAGACATGACATCTCCACTGCCTCCACCTTCTCCTCGCTGCAACATTCATCACCCATGCTTCACACCCATATAAGAGCGTTGGTAAAACTATACTCTCATACATTCCTCTCTTTGCCTCCAAGGACAAAGTTCTTTGTCTCCACAGACTCCTAAGTGCACCACTCACCCTTTTCCCCCTCATCAATTCTATGATTCACCTCATCTTTCATAGACCCATCCGCTGACACGTCCACTCCCAAATATCTGAATACATTCACCTCCTCCATACTCTCTCCCTCCAATCTGATATCCAATCTTCATCACCTAATCTTTTTGTTATCCTCATAACCTTACTCTTTCCTGTATTCACTTCAATTTTCTTCTTTTTCACACCCTACCAATTCATCCACCAATCTCTGCAACTTCTCTTCAGAATCTCCCAAGAGCACAGTGTCATCAGAAAAGAGCAACTGTGACAACTCCCACTTTATGTGTGATTCTTTATCTTTTAACTCCACGCCTCTTGCCAAGACCCTCGCATTTACTTCTCTTACAACCCCATCTATAAATATATTAAACAACCACGGTGACATCACACATCCTTGTCTAAGGCCTACTTTTACTGGGAAATAATTTCCCTCTTTCCTACATACTCTAACTTGAGCCTCACTATCCTCGTAAAAACTCTTCACTGCTTTCAGTAACCTACCTCCTACACCATACACCTGCAACATCTGCCACATTGCCCCCCTATCCACCCTGTCATACGCCTTTTCCAAATCCATAAATGTCACAAAGACCTCTTTAGCCTTATCTAAATACTGTTCACTTATATGTTTCACTGTAAACACCTGGTCCACACACCCCCTACCTTTCCTAAAGCCTCCTTGTTCATCTGCTATCCTATTCTCCGTCTTACTCTTAATTCTTTCAATAATAACTCTACCATACACTTTGCCAGGTATACTCAACAGACTTATCCCCCTATAATTTTTGCACTCTCTTTTATCCCCTTTGCCTTTATACAAAGGAACTATGCATGCTATGCATGCTCTCTAATTTCTTGACGTGCTTGACCAGGTGTGGGTTCCCTACTAGTGTTGAGTGTGTAAGTCTGGGGGACTGCATCAGTGCACTTACCTATTTGTGGTTGCAAGGGTATATTATATTCTAGCCGTCAAGCTTGATGAAAATGTATATTATAAATGGTATAATAAGATACTGATAAGTTAATAAATAAGACACATGTGCAGCATTAGGAATCTTCAACAACTGGGCCTCTACCCTTCAAACAGAACTCTTTGCCATACTCCTTGCACTCAAATGCGTCCATGTATCTAAGGTTGACACTTTAATTGTAACTGATTCTCTGTCATCCATAAATGCTTTCAACTCATAAGTATAAATTGTGGCATGCTTGTGTCAGAAGCCAGACATAGGGGGATTTCAACTTGAGGCACCTAAAATGGAGGAATATAGCAAATAAAGTTGTTAGTGATAACACCAGGAGGCAGCTCTGACGAGAACTCACATACACACGAGCTTTTGAATCTCTGCACAAAATTCAACTTAAACCAGCAAATAATAGAGCATGCTAGACTGGAGAATACACTAGGAGGCCTGGTCACAGACCGGGCCGCTGGGGCGTTGACCCCCGGAACTCTCTCCAGGTAAACTCCAGACCTCATCTTCACTAACAATGATGATCTGATACGAAATGTCACCATATCAAAAACAATATACTCAGATCACAACATAATCGAGGTTCAAACATGTATGCGCGAAGCCCACGACCGACAAAATGAGATTAGTCACGAGGGAGCCTTCACCAAATTCAACTTCAATAACAAGAACATAAAGTGGGACCAAGTAAATCAAGTCCAAAACGATATAGCTGGGAAGATAGACTAAGCAACACATACCCCAGCTTATGCCTAGAACAGATTAACTCGGTGGCACTCTATGTATGCTCAAGGCTTATTCCTTTAAGAAAAAGGAGGAGTAGATGTAAAATAGAAAGAGACAGGCACTCCCTTTACAGGCGACGGAAAAGAATAACAGAGCGGCTAAAAGAGGCCAATATATCTGAAATGCGTAGGGAGTCACTGGTCAGAGAAATAGCAAACATCGAACTTCAGCTAAAGAAATCTTATACGAGTCAGGAATCGCGGGAAGAACTAAAAGCCATAAATGAAATCGAAAGAAACCCAAATTATTTCTTTTCTAATGCCAAATCAAAGTGGAGAACAACATCCAGTATTGGGCCCCTACTTAAACAAGATGGGTCCTACACAGATGACAGCAAGGAAATGAGTGAGCTACTCAAGTCCCAATATGACTCAGCTTTTAGCAAGCCGTTAACCAGACTGAGAGTCGAAGATCAAAATGAATTTTTTATGAGAGAGCCACAGAATTTGGTTAACACAAGCCTATCTGATGAACATTAAAATGGTATAAAATACCGACAGATTGTTAGGTAAGACACATATGCAACAGTTAGGTATCTTTATTTCGAAACGTTTCGCCTACACAGTAGGCTTCTTCAGTCGAGTACAGAAAAGTTGAGAGAAGCAGAAGATACTTGAAGACGATGTAATCAGTCCATCACCCTTAAAGTTTTGAGGTGGTCAGTCCCTCAGTCTGGAGAAGAGCATTGTTCCGTTGTCTGAAACAATATGAAGTTGAAGTGACTGGATGGGGCCTTATATAGTGCCAGGAGGTGAGACGTAGGTTGCTTTGGGAGGGCAGGTCCCTCTCAAACCCAGCCGTTCTCACTAGTAGAGGTTGTCGAAGTTGATGGTCTGTACCAAGATACCCTTGTGTTGCAGTGTCTGACAGAATGATACCTAACTGTTGCATATGTGTCTTACCTAACAAGCCTATCTGATGTTATCCTGACGCCAAATGACTTCGAACAGGCGATAAATGACATGCCCATGCACTCTGCCCCAGGGCCAGACTCATGGAACTCCGTGTTCATCAAGAACTGCAAGAAGCCCCTATCACAAGCTTTTACCATCCTAAGGAGAGGGAGCATGGACACGGGGGGTCGTCCCACAGTTACTAAAAACAACAGATATAGCCCCACTCCACAAAGGGGGCAGTAAAGCAATAGCAAAGAGCTACAGACCGATAGCACTAACATTCCATATCATAAAAATCTTTGAAAGGTCTGGAGTTTTGAGACTCTGTGACCGCGGGTTCAATCCCGGCCGGGGTATGGTTTCTTTGAAAGGGTCCTAAGAAGCAAGATCGCCACCCATCTAAATACCCATCAATTACACAACCCAGGGCAACATGAGTTTAGAGCAGGTCGCTCCTGTCTGTCTCAGCTACTGGATCACTACGACAAGGTCCTAGATGCACTAGAAGACAAAAAGAATGCAGATGTAATATATACAGACTTTGCAAAAGCCTTCGACAAGTGTGACCATGGCGTAATAGCGCACAAAATGCGTGCTAAAGGAATAACAGGAAAAGTTGGTAGATAGATCTATAATTTCCTCACAAAC